TGTTTCCAAAGCAGCCGCTTCACCTCCGTTGGATATTTACCTTACTGGCTCAACCGACTGCCACTTGACCCTCACAGGTCAAGACTAATACGGCTCTCCCTGTCCCAGATGTGGAAGGTTTGTTTTGGATAGCTTTTAAAACAGCCACGGTCGTTTCAGAGTATGTGTGCGTGCCTGTTACTAAAATAGAAAGGAGTAATTCACCTAGAGTGATAGAAAGCAGGTAGCCCTAATAACAAGTCCTCAAAAAAAGGGGCTTTCTCCCTTTAAAAAAAAAAAAAACAGACGTCCTTTTAGGGATTTAAAGTCAATTGCACTTAAGTATCTTAAACTACCAGATGATTGTGGGCCTGCAATTAAGTTAAGCCAATGAAGGGCTAAGCAGACCCCCTGATCTGACATTTTTGCCTGGCTTCAAAGTGCAGTGATCCTGTGAAGGGTGACTGGGGAATGGAGTTAAGGTATTTCAGACGAGACTCTGGGGGAAGCGGCTAACTGGAGACGCTAATTAACAAGACATCACACTTTTGACCGCTACATTGATTGAGAGTGGCTAAGCTTTACCTCCTGTCCAAATAACCTGCTTTTTTGCTTAACAATTGTGAGTGTGTGTTGAGCTAGCTGGACGGGGATTTATGAACGTCTCTGTGTGTGATTTATTTATTTTTTGCTAGAGGTTAGCTAGTTTCGTGGACTAATAGATCAACTGCACATGGCCAATTTTATTTCAGATGTCATGGCATGCAAAAAATGCGTACCTAAATTGTATATGTGCGTCTGGAGATGCATAGTGTGTAACACAACCCTCTAGACTTTTGTATAACCACCCATCTGTGGTAAAATACTTCAGGAATCGAGACAAAGAAACTTTCCGTAGCGGTTGAGTTCAGACCGGCTCTTGAAGATAAATAAACAGAAAGGCATAAACCTGCCTTTATCCCTATATAAATATTCCTTCAGATGTCATAATTATTGCACTCGAAGGGAAAGAACGTGCACGAGACATTAAGTGGCTGTGTCACTTTGATCTGCAATGTCCGCCCATTCCCACCAGTCAGCATATGGCTCAGTTTAAAACCAAACTGCGCTGGTAATTGACCTCCGAGCCTCGATCACTTTTTCTCCTTTTTTTTTTTTAGCTATAAGCTAATGGCAACTTGTCATAAACGCTCTCATTGTGCTATGACATCATACGCTCCAGACAGTGCTGAGGCAGAGTATAAAATACTTTATACAGTTGAAGTCAGAATTATTAGCCCCCTTTGAATTTTTAAATATTTCTCAAATGATGTTTGACAGATGAAGGAAATTTTCACAGTATGTCAGATAATATTTTTTATTTCTGGAGAATGTCTTATTTGTTTTATTTCAGCTAAAATAAAATCAGTTCTAAATTTTTTTCAAAACATTTTAAAATCAATATTTTTAGCCCCTTTAAGTTATATTTTTTCGATTGTCCAAACCATCATTATACAATAACTTGCCTAATTACCCTAACCTGCCTAGTTAGCCTAATTAACCTAGTTAAGCCTTTAAATGTCACTTTACGCTGTATATCTAGTAAAATATTATTAACTGTTATCATGTCAAAGATAAAATTAGTCAGTTATTAGAAATGAGTTAATAAAACTATTATGTTTAGAAATGTTGAAAAAATCTTCTCTGTTGGACAGAAATTGTAGAAAAATAAACAGGGGGGCTAAAAATACAGGGGAGCTAATAATTCTGACTTTAACTGTACTTTAAATCAAATGCACTGCTGTGGTAAATGTCTTTATTTGATGTAATTTTGTCTCCTTGACCATTTGTTTAAATGTGCTCTCATATTCAGCTGCCAGTCAGTGTTTTTTTTTTTTTTTTTTTTTTTAAGTATTTGCTCACCCGTCAAAAAAGAAAATGCCATCATCGTTTACCCAAATCCATTTGACTTCTTTTGTGCTCCTTTTGTTGTGGTTTATGCTTTGGTTGCACTTTGGCATTCAAATGTGATTATTGAAGATGGGTTCAAAGGAAGAAAACAAACAGAAGAAACATAAACCACCTGTAAAAGTAACAAAAGTATATTATTTTGGAAGTCTCAGGAATGCTTTTTATGCTGATTTTGTATCAACCTATTATTAAAAACATGTCAAAGATGACAAAGATTTAATATAAAAGGAAAGGTTTCTATGTGGTTTTGAAAAGTTTCACATACCGTTGAAGTCAGAACTATTAGCGCCCAGTATATTTGTTTCCCCAAATAATTAATTTATTTTATTTTTGCTGTTACATCAGTTCGAGTTACATCAGTAACTCGCCAGTAACGTATTTAATGTATGTTCCTGTAAGAAAACATTGTACATAATTGGAAATCCAGCGACCGTAATCATCAAACCCTTGGGAACAACTGTGGTTGGAACCAAAGTTCACAGGTCTGTGTTCTCTGAACTCCTACCAAGCGGTGGACGTCTTCATTCTGATTGCTTGCCGGCGAACCGTGTTATAGCTCATTACCATAAAGTTGACTTGATTTCAACTCTCCTCGACGCCCACGCTGGCGAAGACGCGCTGCGCTGCTCCTCGCCTATTATCGCCGCCGGCTCACATTGAAAATTAATGACTTCCGGCTACTTTGACGCTCTCGCCGCTTTCGGTGTGAACGTACGGTAACAGTGATAACACTGTTAATAATTTTTGTAAATTGCACAGTATTTAACTGTAATATGAACTGTATTTTACTGTAGGACAGCTATGCAGTATGTTACTGTATTTTAAAGTTGCATTTTGTAACTTACTGTATATTGTACATTAAATATATACATACAGTACTGTAAATCGATATACTGCAAGGTAAATGGTGCTGTAAATGTAAATACAGTTTTTTTGCTGTCATTGATTTACAGTAAGTTACTGGTGAACTGTTGCCAGTCAGTTCTCTTGGGAAATGTTAACAGTGAATTCTTCAGAAAAGAACACAGTGCTTTTTTAAAAGAACCAACCATGACGTTCCCTGTCCTCTTGCAGTCACAGCGGATTGCTCCCATCATGCACTGTTCAAGAAATCTTGTGCAGAAATGATGAGGAATGCCTTCGAGTGGGAGGCTCAAGTGGTCAAGCAACGATTCAAGCACTAAATGCGTAGTATTTGAAGTCTAGTATGTTATTCGCTGATTGATCAGCAGCTCGAATGAATCCTTAGAATCACTTAGAACAGAGCCGGCGGTGCTCCAGCTCATCTCAGAGGCAAATTATACAGAGAAGGAATAGAATTTATTGAAGCAAATCAGAATCTTTTTTGAGAAGCAGCCGCTCAAGAAATTGCCCACCCCTCCAAGACTCACAGGATGGTTTATTTTCGCTCCCTTTAAGGAGTGAAATGTTACTTATGCATGAAGTGTTCCAAATGAAGGAACCTTAGACAAGTGGAAGCAGATGGCAAGAGATGATGGGAGACGAGTCCCTCAAAGATACTCTGTCTATCACTGCCTAAACAACTGACACGCACATAGACACACACATACAGATGTACAACTTAACTCCTCATATCTATGTGTTCAAAAAATGTATATTATACCTCTCAATATAAAATACATGAACATATAGATAAAAATAAGCAAAAAATTTAAGATTTTACATGATTTATAGAAGAAGTGAAATGTAATTTAATTTAGTGTAGCAATCTTGTCATGTAAATCCACTTCACTTCCGAATCTGCAATTGCCTCTCTGGATATACCACTAACTGTACTCAAAAAAAATAAAAAAAATAAAAAAAATTACTAATGCTTTCCTTTTTAGACTTTACAGACCTGAAACTTGCCTATAGCACTTATTCATTGTTGCTCTTATAGTTGTATAAATTGCTTCCTTGTCCTCATTTGTAAGTCGCTTTGGATAAAAAACGTCTGCTAAATGACTAAATGTAAATTTAAATGTAAATTTAGAATAATAATCGTTTGGTGAAAAAATAAAAGACTGTATCTTAACATATGGTTTGCTGCTGTTCTTATTAAACTAATTGTTTTACATTTCTAATCCATTTGCCAGAATTAGATATTATTAATTAAATAAAAATACGAGAATTAAAATTTAATTAAATAACAATATGGTGATAACTTTTAAAAAACATATCAATTATAAAATAAAAATATTCTATTAAATATTTTAGTAAGTACAAGTATGTACAGGCCAGAATAAGAATGTTGTCATTTTTACATATATATATATATATATTTTAATTAATTTAATTTAATTACATTTTATGTAAATTAATTTTATTTTATTTTCGGCTTAGTCCTTTTATTAATCCGGGGTTGCCTAGACGGAATGAACCGCTAACTTATCCAGCACGTTTAATGCAGCGGATTCCCTTCCAGCTGCAACCCATCTCTGGGAAACATTCATACACACTCATTCACACACATACACTACGGACAATTTAGCCTACCCAATTCACTTGTACTGCATGTCTTTGGACAAATTTATTGTCAACACTTTCATATTGTTGATAATGCAACATTAGCACCTGGGCTAAGTTTACTGCTAGATTAATGCAGTCAACACACTGACCACTGCACGTTCTAGTAAGAATGCAACAATCACAGATATTTTAGTGCAGAAGTAATGCATACGTCATCAGCACACAGATTCATGTAAAGTTATTTCACAAAACATGACGCTTGAAAGACAAAGGCTTTAATGTTAAGCCTTATCAGAGACTTGCTCGAATGTGTATTTTACCAGTATGACAAGTGTGTGCTAGAAAGCTGCTCAAAATCCTGCTCATGTTGGTTAGCGACTAGTTGACGTCAATCAGAAATCATCATGGCAAGCATTAGTCGGTTCAACCCCTAGTACACACACACATAAACTTTTCTAAAATAAATATTCAAAACATTGATTCCACAAAACAACTTAAAGAGACATGAATGTCACCAGTTGTATCAAAACTCTGACACATTCTAGTCCATCTTTTTTTTTTTCTTCTTTTGTAATGCTAACAATTCCTCTGTCCATTTTCAGTGGGAGGAAATCAGTGTGATGGATGAGAGAAACACCCCCATGCGTTCCTACCAGGTTTGCAACGTGATGGAGGCCAGTCAGAATAACTGGCTTCGCACTCGGCACATTGCCCGGGAAGGAGCCCAGCGGGTCTACATCGAGATCAAGTTCACCCTGCGTGACTGCAACAGCCTGCCAGGAGTCCCCGGCACCTGCAAAGAAACCTTCAACATGTACTACTATGAGTCCAACAACCCCAACCTGTGGTTCATCAAGGAGAGCCAGTACATAAAGATTGACACCATCGCCGCTGACGAGAGCTTCACACAGACCGACGTCGGTGATCGGGTCATGAAACTAAACACGGAAATCCGGGACATCAATAACTTGAGCAAGAAGGGTTTTTATCTGGCTTTCCAAGATGTCGGAGCCTGCATCGCGCTGGTGTCTCTGAGGGTCTTTTATAAGAAGTGTCCTCTGGCGGTGTTGAACTTGGCCCAGTTTCCCGATACGGTGACTGGAGGAGATTCCGCTTTGGTGGAGGTTAGAGGGTCTTGTGTGAATGATTCGGAGGAGTTTGAGGCTCCGAGGATGTACTGCAGTGGAGATGGTGGATGGCTGGTGCCCATCGGACGCTGCGTCTGCAAGCCGGGCTTCGAGGAGAATAAGGACTACTGTCAGGGTAAGTTGAAGATTGAGTGGATTTTACTGCTATGTTGGGAATGTTTGATGTTCGGTGACGCCAAAAAAGTATTTGGAAACTTTTTACGTATTATATTGGTTATATAATGTTGTGAATGACTTTTGAATGACTTTTACTTTAAAATCAAGGGTGCGTACAGTAGTTTTGTTTGGATATTACATGTCGGTATTGGATATTTAATCATGTATGTTTATTTTATTTTTTATTTTTATTTATTTTTTGAGATCATTGATTATAAAAAGGTAAAACACTAATAATTTTGTAATTCCTATAGAGCAAGTCCAAAAGTAGTGTCCAATTTATACTGTATATTGTTAAAATTAAGAGATGACTTGGATTTATTGGGTATGGGTTCGAGTAAAATATAATTTTTTGTTTTCAAAACATTGCTTTCAAATTTAAAATATAAATATACAAATATTTTGGCACACTGTAAAAAAAGTTTTTGTTTTTGTTACTTTAACGTATTTTAAGACAGTTTGATGACTAGAAAGGTTAATTTGATTCAACTTAAAAAATGAAGGCAGCAATAATTGTGCAGCTTTTTCCTCTTGGAAAAAAATAAAAAAATTGGTCATAATAAGAAATGTGTGTATTCATTGTGATTTAAAATTGAGGATCAAATAAAATAATAGGTCAAATATTATGGTGTTGATCTACGGCTATATATATATATATATATATATATAGTATTTGCAAAATAAAAGAAAAATTTGCAACCCAAAAATAAAGTATTGAGCCAAAAAAATAATGAATGCAAATCTCCAAAAATTGCAAGGCAAAATGAAATTTTTGGGAAATAAAATGGATTTTGCTTACAAAAACTAAAAAACTGCAAAGGGAAAATTGAGTTTTGGGAAATAAAAATGAAATTTGCAAACAAAATAGAAAAAAACAAGCAGAAAAAAAAAAAATAATAATATATATATATATATATATATATATATATATATATGTATATATATATATTTTTTTTTTCTGCTTGTGTATATATGCAATAAATGTTTTGCAAATATAAATAAATATAGTTTTTTTTTATTGCAAATATTTGTTTTTTTTTTTTGCACTGCTTGATTTTTTTCTTTTTTGTTTGTAAATTTTATTTTTATTTCTCAAAACTTATTCTTTCCTTTGCATTTCTTTATTTTTTGTAAGCAAATTTTATTTTTATTTCTCAAAAAGTTTTGCTTTGCAATTTTTGGAGATTTGCATTTATTTACTTATTGCTCAATACTTTATTTTTTGCTTTTAATATTTATTTTATTTTGAAAGTATATATGGCTTTAGATTGACTACATGAAATATTGATTTTGCATCTCTTCTTAATTTATTATTTTTAGCAATAATCATGCAGGTTTTTTCCTACTAAAGTAACTATTGGTCATAATAAGAAATGTTTTTTTGTTCATTGTGATATAAATTTGAGAATTATGTTGAAAAAAGAAATAGCTGAAATATTGATTCTGTAACTCTTCTGAATTTAAAGCATTAGTATTGTGTTACCCAAAAATCAATATAATTTAGTTTTGAAAACATGCCACATTTTTATTTTATTCAGGAAAGTGTTTTACTATATAAACTATATTATATTTCAACTTTAAATCGTAAATCTTGGGATTGATCAAGTATTCTCTTTTTTCTAAAGTGTTTAAATTATATTCAACAATATTTGTTTATTTTGATTGTGGCTGAAGTCACAAATACTTTTTAGGTACTCTGTTTAACAAAATACAACTTTCTCTGTTTTTGTTGGTGGGTTTAATGGATATTATTACACATTCTGCTTTGACGAAACTGAGAAAATATCCTTTATCTGTTTTTTGTTTTTTCTCTTCAGTTGCAGTCTCATTGTTTGCTTCTGAAATATGTGTGCGTGTGTGCATTTGTGAGCAAATGCAAATACATTTGCAGTGAAAGTAGCTGAGGGCTTTAGTGACTCATTCAGATTCACTCTGTGCCTTGGTTGCCTGTGTTCGGGAAGGTAGTTGTGCTCCAGGATACAAATTATTGAGACATAGCATTGCACAGACTATCTGTTCTGTTTACTTGCTCTGCAAATCCATAGGCCTCCAGCAGGCAGTCTTGCTTGTATTGTGTGTGTGTGTGTGTGTTTGTGTGTGTGTGTGTGTGTGTGTGTGTGTGTGTGTGTGTGTGTGTGTGAGTTTGTAAAAGTTTGCTCCAAAGATGCCAGCTGTATTTGATTATTTTCAAATGTTTACTTTTTGCCTTGTTTAAAGGTAACTGTAGCATAAAACAACAAAGCGTGTTCATCTGTTGGGTTAATACGTTAATACTGAAGTTATGTTAAAGATTTAACGGGGCGTCTGCTCTGCTTGTTAACATTTATTTTGACAAATGAAGTATGATTATTTTGCACATATGTGTCTGTGTGTGAGTGAGAGAGAGAAAATATTTATTTGTATATTTTTGTTGTATTTTTATTGCATTATTATTATTATTATTATTAATATTATTATACAATTTATTATAATACTATACTACTATTTATACTATTTATTTTAAATTTATATGTTCTTTTTAATGTAAATTTTATGAATGCATTGGCAATACATTTGTAACATTTGTCATTCCAATAAATTATTATTCAATTGAATTGAGAAAGAGAGTAAGCTAGAGACAGAAAGAGCAAGCAATGCGGGCTGCATTAAAGCAGAACTCAATAATATTCATGACCCTTCCAAATACGGTCAATATGGACCATCTGATTCTGTGGGGTTTTATGGGCTAATAGATGAGCATATAAAACAATTTCTGGATAATTTCTGAACTACCCTAAGCCTTATACCTAATATGTAGATATCACAGAATGATTCAACTTTTGTAATTCAAACAGTATTTGGCACCATTGAATAATTTCATTAATCAAACATGTTCTTCAAAAGGTGCTTGTACATAAAGAACTATAGAGGTAAATCCATATGGTGAAACACATATATATCTACTATATTACCAAAGTATACAAAAACATTTTTAAAATATGCTTGCTTAAATATATTTTCTACAACTGAAGAGTTTAGATACAAAAACCTTTAAATGCTGTCTGAAATTTCCCTCTAAAATTAGCATTTTTTATCAGGTTCCTGTGTGTATGTTCAGTAATATCACACTTATGGCAAAGCATAAGTCCCTTTCTTGGTCTTTAAAGTGAAATATCTCAACATAAACAAAGGAGGCTGAGAAAAATGTTCATTTTCGATGGAAATTTCAGAAGGCACTTAGAGCTTTTTGCATCTGAACTCTTCAAATATTTATATCACATACAGTTGAAGTCAGTATTATTAGCCCCCTTCGAAGTGTTTTCTTCTTTTTTTAAATATTTCCCAATTGATGTTGAACATTCAGGAAATGTTCACAGTATGTCTGATAATATTTTTTCTTCTGGAGAAAGTCTTATTTGTTTTATTTCGGCTTGAATAAAAGCAGTTTTTAATTTTTTAAACACCATTTTAGGGACAAAATTATTAGCACCTTTAAGCAAATTTTTTTTCGATAACCTGCAGAACAGACCATCGTTATACAATAATGCCTAATTACCCTAACCTGCCTAGTTAACCTAACCTAGTGAAGCCTTTAAATGTTACTTTAAGCTGTATAGAAGTGTCTAGAAGAATATCAAGTCAAATATTATTTACTGTCATCATGCCAAATATAAAATAAATCAGTTATTAGAGATGAGTTTTTAAAACTGTTATGATTAGAAATGTGCTGAAAAAATCTGCTCTCCATTAAACAGAAATTGGGGAAAAAATAAACAAGCTGTCTAATAATTCAGGGGGGCTAATAATTCTGATTTCAACTGTACGTAATATAATATAATGTATTTATATTATGTGAGAGAGACAGAGAGAGAGAGAGACAAAGAGAGCAAGCACTGAGGGCTGCATCAGAACAGAGCTTATTATTATTTATGACCCTTCCAAATATGGTCAATAAGGCAAGGAGCACCTTCTGATTCTGTGGGTTTTTTAAAAATCAGACAAAAATTACAGCTACATTTGTATAATTAATGTATATTTCTGTCACTCTGAACTTTTTACAATACAAATCTAATAATTATTTTTTTAATAATATTTTTAACAATGGATACTTTAATGCGGGGCTATTCAATTAGTTTGTCATGGGGACCAGTTCATAAAAAGCATCCCGAATTAGGGGCCGGAGAGATATGACTTGCAATATAAGTGATGACACAACAGCAATATAAGAGCCCATATGCTGTATTTTTGCTCCTTAAGACACCCACGTTGGCTTTTTTCTACATTGAAACGTTAATATATTTTATTTTGAAACTACATAACATAACTGCATTGTACAATGTGGTTTTTTCCCCAAACATATTCAAATGTTGTATTTCAAAGCAAAACAAAATCTGTGCATTGCTCAAGTAGGCTTCTTCTACATTTAAACATATTCATATGTTATATAGTCAGCCAATTGAATAGCCCTGCTTTAATAGATACTATTTTTAACAATGGTTCCACTATCTTTTGTAAGATTGGATATGTACTTTTTTCCCCCTGCCAACTTTAAAGAGACATTTTATTGTGCCTCACTGGTTTAAATGCTCATTTGTGTGATGTCTATTGCTAATTATATACTAAATGCCATATGTTCAAACATCTATATCCGCCGAGATCATATTAGCTTTAATAACCCCTTATTCGTTGTTCTCTTTCCATCTTATGTTTTGCATTGCCTGCAAACACACTGCAACATAAAAAGGAAACATCCAGCAACCCACACATGCTCTCACAGGTTCAAACCTCTTGTCGATTGAATCCGCTGCTCTTCTGCAAACTCCTACTTATCTTTATTTATGTGCCGGTAGCTTCATTTGTGCTGCAACGCTTCTTTTATCAACTCGGATGGAAAGTGGAGTAGAAAGTGAGGAAAGCATGACGAGCTCTTGTGAAGCAGTTGTGCGGCTGTTGTTGTCGTTCTCTTTGTGCGTTTGGGCT